GTGAAGAAATTGGACATGTCCGTGTTCACGTAGCATGATTCATGTCTGCTCTGCTGTTGCTGCTGCTGCTTTCCTGTAACCAGTTTCAGAGCCTCTCTTGGCAGTGGGGAGTATTTGGGATTAATTTCACACTCACTTTATGAGTTGAGCCTTTTCCTGCAAGCAGCTCCCTGGGCCTCTGCCTCATTACTTTGGCATCAACTGATATGGCAGTGGGACAGCGATGTCCTCTAGGGTCTCCATTTTATTTGGAAACCTTCAATTTGGAAAAGCAAAACAAAGGCCATCAACACATTGCACTTGAAATCGTTAGCAATTATTGTTTCCTAAGGCCTTCCCTGGCTGTGTTCTGTTGAACACCAGGGGACGTTCATCTTGCATGGCCCGTGATGAGCACCGAAAGACCCCCTCTCCTTCAAATTTGCCTCCTACAGCTGCTTGGCCCCATTTTCTCAGTTCCAGGTGAGCTGTGAAATCTTCTAGGCCTCAGTCCGATCTGAGTCTTGATGGGTCCAGTTTTTCCATCCCCTTTCATTCTCTTAATTCTGCTAAATTCATTTGGCTCTCGCAGAGGACAGAGTAAACTTGGCCAATACGTGCAAAACCAAATGGAGAGCATGGAGATCTGTTTAGTATTTCACGCTGGCCAGTAGGTCAGGAAGATTTTCCTTGGGGGTAATTTACATGAGGGATTGTTTACCCCCTTTCTTTCCAGTTGCTGGGACCATTTGGGGGATAGCAGACTCTTTCCACAATGGCATAGGAATATATCCAGGGAGAGACTGGGACTTGGAGACATGGTGCTTCTCCCGGCCTGATGTATTTTGGGCCCTGCTCAGGAAAGATCCTGTGGCTTGGGCCGCTGTCTCACCGAGAAGTCATTCTTCCACCACAGCTGTGTTTAGCAAGTTGGGTGGGTCCGAGAGCTGACATGCTGTTACACTTAGCAAGAATTTTCCCTGGACAGTGAGGAACGTGTGTAAAAGCCTCTCCTGAGTCCCAGCTAATGCCCCAAATGTTTACAGTGAACCGATAGCTGCTAAGAGCATCACTTCCACCAGGAAATGCCCTCACTCTGAATACTCCACGGCTCCCTAGTACCTACAGCATCAAGTGAATGTTCTTCATCTTGACATGGCAGTTCTTCGACAGCAGTTGTCCACGTTACCTTTTCTTGTCTTATCAACTGCACTTCCCAAAGTGGAATGTTTGTTCTTCTCTGAACAAGCAGCCTCCACTTTTCTGCTTTAATGCATTCAGTCAAGTTGTTTCCTTCATTTTGAAAGCCCCCATATACAGTATCTGTTCTTTTTTTAGATGTCCCCCCTTTTCCCCTCCTTGCCTCCCTCCACCTGGCTCCCGCCCCTCCCTAGGCCTTCACCACACTATTGTCTGTGTCCATGGGCTATGCATATATGCATAGTTCTTTGATTAATCTCTCCCCCACCTTCCCTCTGAGATTTGTCAGTCTGTTCCATGCTTCTGTCTCTGGATCTATTTTGCTCATGTTTATTTTGTTCATTAGATTCCACATATGAGTGAGATCATGTGATATTTGTCTTTCTTTGCCTGACTTATTTCGCTTAGCATGATAATCTCCAGGTCCATCCATGCTATTGCAAAGAGTAAGAGATACTTCTTTTTTTTTTTAATACAGCTGCATAGTATTCCATTGTGTAAATGTTCCACAGCTTTTTAATCCATTCATCAGATGTATCATTAGCAAATATGTGCTCTCATACAGTGGGTTCCCTTGTCATTTTGATGGTGGTTTCTTTTGCTCTGCAGAAGCTTTTTACTTTGATGTAGTCCCAGTATCTATTCTTGAGGCCAGATTTCAGGTACATTTTCCAAGTGACATGCTGGTAAATAATTAACAACCGGTTCCCTGGGGGAGAGAGGTGGTGGAAAGGCTGGCTTTGTACAATTGTTGACCTCCTTGTCATCAATACTTCCCCTGTGACTAGCTTCAGACGACCAGCATGAGGTCACAAAGTGCAGATATGGGAAGAAATGGGCGACAGCCATTTCTGTTTCCAATCTGCAGGGACAATGAACATAAGTCACCTCAAGGACTTAGATAATAGTAAAATCATTAGGAAGTATTTTGAGTGTTTATTACCTTTGTTTTAATGTAATTTATTTAATTTTATGTAATTTCATTTTTTATAATGGCCCTGTTTAACAGCGGGCTCACAAAATTTCCAATAATTGAATAGCTGGTTTTCTCTCCTGAGATGGCTAGAGCCGCTGCCTCTTCCCCCACTCCTCATTTCAGAGCCCCTCACACTCAGCAAGAGGGAGGCCCTTCTCTGACCCTGGGAGGGCCTTCAGGGCTCGTGCAGGCTTTAGAGAGAGAGACTCAGAGTCTGAATCCTGGCCTCCGGTTACTACGCGATGGTCAAGCTGGCTACCTGATTTGCTGTCCCCAGTGCAAAGTGAAAATTCTGGGCCTTGTTAAAAGGCAAGAAGAAAGTGCCATGAAAACGGCTACTAAAATGTAACGCTTTCTCCTTTCTTCACTGGGCTCCCGTTCACACCTGGTGGTATCTTTTATTTTCTAGCTAATGTCATACCAAGTAAGGAAAAATGAAAAATTTAAATCGTTAGTGTGAAATTGATCATTAATCACCATTATGCGATGCCGTGTTAAATGCAAATCTGCGAGCACTTAACTCTAGGAGCTCGTGACACATCTCCTCTGCTCATGCCCGTGCTCCATTAGCCCCCTGACTTCACTTACGAAGCACAAATTCAGAAGTAAAATTAAGAATTTCAAGACAGAGACAGCAGGGCGCCGAAGCAGCCAGGGAGCCCTTCTGAGCAAGGGCACAGTTTGTGTGCCCTGTGCACAGTACCCGCCAAGTTCCTTACATCTGCTGAGCCTCAGAGGCACCGTTTGTAAAGTAGAGACCATGGCAGCCAAGCCACAGTGGAGGTGAGCTGACGGAAGGCCCAGAGCAGAGTGCTGGGCATGCAGTCTGTGCTCAGTTCACTGGACGGATTATCATTAACAATCCAGTGGTAATGCCGCCTCTTTAGGGTCTTCCCTGCATGGGCCACATTTGTCCCCTTGACCTGTTTTCCTCCCTCCATTATAAACTCTCGGAAGTGGAGGTGAGACCTGTTGCTGTTGGATTCCCTATAGTGCTTCCTACACATTTCTGCACATACCTGGCACTCGGGAGGTGTATATGGCCTTGGTCTCTGTAGGATTTGGACTTACCAACAGTAGGCATCTGTGCCATAGTATCGTGGCCCCACAGTGAGGCTTGATTGGTAACAGTCACAGGAGGGAGGAAATACAAAGTCAGACTTGAACAGGAGTCGGTTGTAATCATGGATGGGGCAGGGGCAGCAGATGAGTCCAGGTGTTTCGGTTTAAGGAAAGTGGCCTCCTTCTGTCCCTTTGAGGGGACTGCTTGAAGTCATGGGGAAGGGATGAGTTCCAAGCCTCATCTGAGCGAAAAGGGCCCCAGGGATATTAACTCAGGCCTGGAATAATTTGTCCCTTTGGTAACTCCTTTCACACTTACTTTGTGTTCTGCATAATTAGGACATTATTACAGTGATGTTTCTTTCCACTAATTGGTTGTGCATGTATGTTTCTGTCCAACAAATTATAAGATCCTCATGGGCTTAAGATATCTTGAGCTTCTTCTGAACACAAAGGAAAGCAGCGCAGTACTGGGCGCATAGTAGGCAGTGCACTTGATCGTACTGCTGACCTTGGTCCAGGGCTCCCTGGGGAACTGAATGTGAACTGGGATTGCCTCTTGTAACTCCTGCCCCCCCTGAGCCAAGTGGCACAGCATCCCAGCCTGCCTGGCATTGTCAGGCCAGGACCTTCAGCTGTTTTTTCTCTCACCGATACCTCTCTTCCAGTGTCCCCCAGACACCCCGAGCCTGTCCCCCTCCAGCGCCTCTCCCTCCATGGAATTTGGGAGACCACATAGCTGTAGAGTCTACTTGTTTGAATAATGATTTTTTAACAAGCTCTCTGGGCCAGTGTCAGTAGCCCATGAAATGTCCCTGAATGTGGATCATCTGCATGAGACTCGGAAACTCAGAGGAGCCCCAGTCCCCACGCTGATGGGGACTTGCAGGAAGGAGCTTGCCTTTTGCTTTCCTCATTCTGGGGGCTGTCAGATGCCTTGAGCCTTTGGGCCAGTCAGTTTATTGCTTTTAATGAGTACAAAATTCACCAGGACATCAAAATAACATAAAATACCAATGGGCAGTCTTGGATGCTCCATTCAATTGTCACTTTAGCTCTTTTTTCCACAGGATTATTCAAGGGCATGGAAAAAAAGCCCATTCTACTCACTGCTGCCCATTTTATCCTAAGTAGACTTAGCCTTGTAAAGCTAACACGCCCCAAATAGTTTTTTTCCTTTCAGGTCCCTGTGGGCTGGTGCCAGACACTTGTGTTCAGAATGACACATTGCTCCACTGGCTAAACGTTTGAATATTGTCTGCCTTTTGGATGTAATAAAGAAATACTAATGTTCCAACCATGAAACGGATGAAGAAGAATCATAGGGAAATAGTGATTTTCTGAAAAGGGTGTAATGAAGTTATTATTTTAAATTATAAGGCAAATGCACTAATTTTGATAAGAAGTTTTTAAATCGATCCATCTCTGTGGCTAGTGTTAAAGACTGTGATAACCATACTAGAGGCTACTTTGATTATCATATATTGTAGAAGGTCAATCGACAGTGACGCAGACGCTGAACAAGGTCCCCATTAAGCCGATTTCATGGGTATTTTTATCTCCAGGCCATATGGATTTGGAATTTCTTTGGGCATTTTTTTTTTTTTTTAAGAAGGAAGTGAGCAGATGAATGATAACTCTCTTATTACTCAACATAGCTTGCATTTGGGGAGACGAAGCTCATCAAGTTGTTTGAAAGAAAAACAAGAGTGCGCCAAATGTAATTTGTGGAGGGCCCAAGAATTGTGAAATTGTCCCTAACCGAAGTTCGTCATTCCTGCAGGTAATCGCTCTAGCAGATGCCGTGGAGGAAAACCAGGACCGTCTGTGCCAGTCATTCACCAGGCTGAGAAGTGCCACCCACCTGGTGATCCTGCTGATTGGGCTGTGGCAGAAGCTCAGTACCGACCAGGTGGCCATCCTGGAAGCGGCGTTTCTGCCTCTGCAGCACAACACTCAGGAATTGGTAAGGACCCACGCGTCTGCTGTGGTGACAGCCACTGTTATGGAAAATATTGCAGTTTTAGGAAGCTCTCACATGGCCATCATGTTTTTTAAGGTATCGAATGATGGTTTGGGGTTTTTTTTTTTTTTTTTTTTTAAACCAAATCCTGTTTTCCTTTTTTTANGTTTTTTAAGGTATCGAATGATGGTTTGGGGTTGCTTTTTTTTTTTTTTTAAACCAAATCCTGTTTTCCTTTTTTTAAAATCATTATAAAAATGTCAAATAAAAGCCTTTTTTCCTAGAGCTGTTTTAAAAATAGGTATATAGTCCTTTTTATGTGGCACCCAGTCTGTTTTTCATGTGCTCTTCACGCACCGAGACCAGGGCGCAGTCGTTTGCCTGCTGGGTGACGCAGCGAACCTTCAGGCTGGCCAGCCCGTGTCTCCCCCGCCGGAGAAAACAGCTGAGCCCTTTCCACTCGCTCCATGGCCTTCAAGGCGAGCGTCACCCCAGGGTGAGAGAGACCTAGGCTGCCGTGCTGATGACAGGAGCGTTTCACGACATTTACATAGTTCCGTGTTTTTTCTTTTTAATCCTCACCTGAGGATATTTTTTCCACGCTTTTCAGAGAGAGGGAGAGAGAGAGAAACATCGATGTGAGAGACACATTGATCGGCTGCCTCCTGCACGTCCCCAACTGGGGCGGGAGATCGAGCCTGTGACCGAGGTATGTGCCCTCGGCGGGAATGGAACCTGGGACCCTTCAGTTCCAGGGCCAGCGCTCTAACCACTGAGCAGACCTGCTGGGGCTGTTTGGTTCTTTATATACGGTTTGTAAACTCTTTTACCCTTGACCCTTTGAATAGGCAGTTTAGAATGAGAAGGGGGGAAATGGAGGCTTGTATTTGGAGTTGTGGGTAGAGGATTATTTAAATAAAAATGTCTCAAATCCCTTGAATTCTAGAGGTATCTACGACCACCAGCTGCCATTTTAGGGGAACTTTTTGTTGTTAATTAATTAATTTACTTTAAGTTTATTGGGGTGACATTGGTTAATAGGATCATATAGGTTTCAGGTGTGGATTTCTATGTTACAAGATCTGTATATGGCACTATGTACCCACCACTCAAAGCCAAATCATAGGCCATTGGGGGAACTTTTTGCATGCTTTTATTACAAAGAAATAGTATCCTTCTTGGAAATTAGAGACCCTTGAACTTAGTTTCTATCTTGGAGGAAACCATTTCAAGAAAAAAATCATTTCAAATCTATTTTTAAACATAGGTATGAGAACATGCTACTAAAAATCATCGTACTAAAAATAACATCTTTAGTGCTTCCTAGGTACCAGATGCTATTTTAAATGTTTTAGAAGGATCATCTTATTTAAATTTCTGCATGGCCCTAAAGGCAGTTAAGGTACTATTTTCACCCTCATTGTTCATACAGGAAAATTCAGGCTTTGAGAGAAGTCCCTTTCCTAAACTAGTTGGGTAGAGCTGGATTTGGACCCAGTTCTGGCTGCTTCCAAAGTACATGTTTTTAACCAGTACACTGCAGTTTAGCAAGGCCATGAGTATGATTTTGAAAAGAATAAGCTTTATCAGTTGAATCTAATTTCCTACAGTTGGGTCAAAAGATTGTCATATTTTTTTAAAAACCAAGCTATATTTTATATCCTAAACAAAATACTAATAAATAATTTGGAAAAAATTAAGAGTACACTTTAGGTAGATAAAATAAAATTACAGCTAACATTGACCTTTGAGAAGGTGGAAATGTAGACATTGTAATAATAGAAAATAGAGAAGATGGGTTAGAATTACATTAAAAAGAATGATGACTGACACTTAGGAGCTCAGATTTAGTCAAAAAGATGTGGGTGGCCTCAGTCTCTGGTTCCACTGCTCAAAATCTCTGCTTCGGTAGCTATAAGATGGAAACAGTAACAGAACCTAGCCAATAAGTTGTCATAAGGTTTAATGAGATCACTGAATAGAGTGCTAATCAGTGTTGGGAGTGGCTTATACAGTTTACGTCTATTATTTAAGCTCTCACTAAAGTCATGCACGGTAGGTGTTGTTACCGCTTCGGTTATGTGTCGCCTCGGCCTCACTTGAGGGTGGGGACTGTCTTACTCATGTCTGTATTTCAGCGCCTGGCACAGTGCCTCGCCCTAGTGCAGTCAGTATCTGCTGGGTGAACGAATGGGGGCCCGGGGGAAGCTAACAGGTGGCTGGCAGGCCGGGTGCAGTGGGTGTGACCGGGAGCTTGAGGCAGCAGGCAGGGCCAGCTGTGTGAGTCACAGGGCCCAGGGCACAATGGAAATGCAGGTTCCTGTTCAAATCAAAGCAGAAAAAGGGTTGAAATGCTGTTAGAACAGTTGCTAAAAAACAAAGCTTTTTACTCTCTGCAGTCTCTCCCTCGTCATGGAGTTTTTATTTGCTGTATTATGTTGTTCTAAATACAGAGAAATGAAAAATTTGAATTGTTAGAGTGAATTTTACCATTAATCTTTATAATGGGCTTCGCCAGTTTTAATACAAATGGGAGAGCGTTAAACTCATACTCGGAATCATCACAGTGAGACGATTTGTGTTTCATAGCCCCTGCATGCAAATGTGTTTTGTTCTCTTAGAGCTGTGGAGTTTGCACAAAACCTAACTGTCTGTATTTCACTTCTTGTGACTCGCACATGTCCCCACACTCTCTGCCTCCGATTACTGATGAGTAAGGAAGGTCCCGGGGCCCAGCTCCTCGCTCTTTCCTGGCCCTTCTTTGGCTCCTCCTTCAGCGCACGGGGTGGGTGACACAGGAGTGGCAGGGGTGTACCGGGCTTCCTCAGTCAGTCCTGTTTCCTTCTTTCTTCATTCAAAACAAGTTCCGGTTCAGGTGTAAAGCCTCCCAGAGCTGCCAGTGTCCCTGCTCAGCCAGCCCGGGCGTGACATGCCTTCCCTGGACTCGAGTCTCTGCCCACGTGGGCCCCCAGGATTGAGCTCACGGGCCGTATGGGAATGGGGCAGAGGGGAAGGGGGTGCATCTCCCCGCCCACACATGCTTGTCCCCTCAGACTTCACGTACAAAACCCAAGTTCAAAGATAAAATTATTAAGAATTTCAAGATGGCGACAGCAAGTGTCAAAGCAGGTGGGGGCCCTTCTGAGCAGGGGCCGCCCGAGTGACTGCACAGTTCATAGGCTCCTGAAGCAGGGCTAGACCCAAAGGAAGCACTTCCTAGAAATAAACGTTCTCAAATGTAGGAACTGCATCCCAAGAGAGATCGTGGGATTTCCGACTCTCGAGATCCTTAAAAATGGCCTTCTTTGCTGGGAGCATGTACGTCTGTTCATCCCTGGGGGCAGGTGAGTGGACCCAACATCCTCCCAAAGCCCCTTCTGCCCAGCCTGCCTCTATATTCTCTGCTGTCCTACCTCCCCAAACACATGGGGCACATTCTCCCAACTCTCCTAAATTTGCTGAGGTTAGAAGGCGTGTACACTCATTATGTCTATTGGAGTTATTAATGAGACAGGACATTTGATAAAAACATAACTCGGAGAAGAATGAATGAGAAAAGACATTTTAATACTGCCTGCTACGCTCTTCATCTTTAATTAGGCTGCGGTATTCACGTTGGACTTATACTGGTGAGACAGCTTATATATCTGGAGAAAAAAGGGATCCTTCATTCTTGAAGACGTACGCACGCAGTATGCGGTCTCGACATGCTCATTCCCAATCCCCCACATTATGCCTCCAGACCTCACAAATAAATGTTATGTGATGGGCATCCCGCTGAGATGTGAAAATGAAATATGCAAGCCTGAAATAACTTGGAAGGAGGGCGAGGTGGGGAAGAAAGGAGCCTCTGACCAGAATGTTGAAAATACATCCCATATTGAAGTTATTACGGCACCACAAAAATCTGAATGTAATTTAGACGGTTTGGTGGAGGGTGGATGGCAGAGTGCATGTGTGAGGGGGAGAGCTTTAGACATGTGGACATCGTTTTCGGCAGAGACTCTCTGTTCAAGGTCAGATGTCCCCACAAGTACTGAGAATGATCAGAAGATGCTTTATTTACGTTTTATGCGGTACCACATACTGGTTTGTTGTATTTCATTTAGGTGCATGTGTTACAATGCAGGCTAGGTGCCCTAGTCAATTCTGGAAAATTCCTTCTTAATGACAAATGATTCACAAAGCAGAAATATTTAGAGCTTATCATTACTGATGAAAGTAATGTTCTTTGCACTATACTATCAGTTATTTTAAAAAAATCACCTCATTTGGAACAGAATTCATCATTGTTTTCTTTGATCTGTCCCATTAGTAATTCCTCCCCGTTTTTGCCACTTAATACTATTTTGGGGACAAATAAATGCCGGTATTGCAGACTATTGTATGTGATTTTTTTAAGATGCCGGAAGCTCTATATGCCAGATGAGTTTGGTGAGGATACTCTCTCTCACCTTCAGAAAAACATTGAATGTTCTATTTGGGGTCTCTGAAAAGAGCTCTTAACCTCGTATTCATAGTGGACTCAATAATAGGGTATTATCCCTCCCGTCTTCCCGTGATGAAGGAGAGTTTTTACCCAAAATGATGTCCTACCAGAGTGCCTTACAGGGCAACTCTGAAATGTTGTTTTCTTACTTTTCAGGTTGGGGACTGAGTGTATTTCAGAGAATTTGAATTCTCAGCGCAGAATTAAAACCTGCATCTCCTAATACTCTGTGCCCAGAGGTTCTAGAGAAAACACTGTCTCTGCTTGGATCAGGGAGGCTTGTGGTACTGGCTTGAGTCTGAGAGCGCATTTAATTGTGATATTACCCACAATGCCGTGCAGAAGCCAAAGGCTGTAAAACTGTGCGCACCTCGGGGCTGGCCTAACAGGGCAGATCTCTTATTCAGTCATTTATTCATTCGGGGAATATTTATTCAGTACCTGCCATGTTTCAGGCAGTGTTCTAGGCACTTAGCATGCCTGGGAAACAAAACGCATCCCATCCTTTGTGGAT